CCATATGGGCCTAATGGGGCACAGAGAGGAACATATAGCCCTCACAGCACACATTAAACTACATCATAATTACTCTTTCACTCTCATACAGACTTTTATTGTATCAGTGATGGCCTAACCCAGTTCTTGTGATTAATAATTTAGAATAACTGATAATAATATGTGATAAATAATGATATAAAATGGTAAGGACATTCATCTCACATCCACCAGAAGGCCATGATACAGTGCTGGTTGTAGAATCGCCAAGAGGATCACGGAGTGATTAGTAAAATTGACTTTTGGGTTACTATGTGGACTCAAATGGCATCTCTGAACTCTTGGGTGATTCCTAGGATTAGCATAATGCAGAAGCTCCGTATTTCAGCCTGCATTTGTGTTTTTGTGTGGGTGTGAATAGGGGGTGTGTAATATGGAAACCCATCTGTAATCAGCCAAGTGTGATATTGCTCGTCATCTCTCAATTAGAACACTTACAAACAGTGCATTAAGCTTTGCATTAGAAGTGATGGTGGAGGTGAAAAAGAAGATGTGTTCTTTTTAATGACTCAATTTGGTCCACACAGAGTGTGATGTCTATTCTCTGTGTATTTCTATCTACTTCATGGTGACATGTTTTTAATGCCACAGTGTGACAATCAAAGCTAAAATCTATTCGATTCTCTTTGTTTCGCTTCCTTCAGTCCAAAATGGATCATTTAATGACATCTAGGATTCAATTTTACCTCAGTTTACCCAAAAACTGTTGAAAATTAAGGGTTTGTTATGCAAATACATATGTAGGTTATAATATATACTGCAGTTCATCAGAGGGATGATTATTTGTACTTGATTAGAGTCCACAGCTCATGGCCTTCAGGTTATATAGGAAGAACTTAGGTGTTTTTGTGTGTGTGATAACATAAATCTGTGTACAAATAAATTATGGAAGATTTAAACCTCTTTTAAGGGGTTGATTGCATGAAAGCATACATTTTAATTTCCAGAGAAACACAATTTATATCTTGGAAGCCATGAATTCAGGCAATTAAAAGACAAATACAAAAGTAAATTTGCAGATTAATTTAGATTTAAGATAACATTCTTAAGCTTACTGAATAAAATCCCATGAGAATTAGGGGCTATGTTTTCTGTTTTATATATTGTTTTCTTTTTTTAAGACATCATACACACTTCAGCAAACAAAGGAACACACCTTGATCAGAGCTTAAACAAACTTTAGTACAAATCCGCTCCCTTGCACACACATACAAAGAAGCATGTGCTGTGGTTGAGCAGGCACAAGCATGAGGGCCATCCGGTGTGTGTCAGGGGAGCCTTCGAAGTGTGGCTCTACTCTGACGTTGATGAATGATCTGTCAAGACAATGTCCCACTCATGACCAGCTCCCCCTTTACCCAGGAGAGGGACAGCCTGTGTGTGTGTGTGTGTGTGTGTGTGTGTGGGAAAGGGGGCAGACAGGGCTTATCTTTGCATGTGTTCTTGTTGGCGTGGGTGTGTGCAGTTGTGTACACGCCCTGCTGAGTGTGTATTATTTTGGCAGCCCTCTGTCACACATGTGAATGGCATGGCACAGGCATTACACGAGTCAGCGGTTTGGGGTCAGAGTGTGAGCGAAAAGGCAAAGAGCACGGGGTTAAACACTCTGACCCCCGTGCAACCTTGAGGGGCACCCCACTATTTTAATGGGGAAATCCATGATCCATTTCCAGTTCAAACCTGAGGCCCCCAAGTCCCCCCCTCCACTACAACATTTTACAGAAACCGTGTGAAACAAACTGCTATTCACACACAGCATGCACTAATAAATAAAATGCACTTCCTCTTCGTTTATACCTCTGGATGATGAAGAGTTTAGCGATTACATCCCTGCACTCATACTGTATTAATTTAGTCCCCTGTGTTTTGGTTTTTACTCACTCAACCACAGGAAATAACTACTTTTAGCACCAGCTCACGATGGTTTCTGTTGTGATGACCACGCATTAACAGCTCTTTCCGCTGAGGCGCCACTCGGAGTGCTAGCACTGCCTTGTTGCTGTCATTAAACCACTATGGCCTTTATTTCACTCTTAATGACAGTTTACCCCATCAAATTTCTGAGATCCATTTGCAAGACGCAAGTCTAATTTCCCTTGATGACAATGCTTTTACGTAGTAATGATGTAAAAGAGTACAGGCAAAGTGCAACCAAGCTCAGTGTCAGGGGTAATGCAATACTGCAAAGTAGAGTTACGAAGAGAAATATGGGTGTTTTCACATCATTGCGCAGTATGTTGACCTTTAAGCTTGAAACATTAGAAAGAGAGAGGGACAGCGTAAGCTAGACATAGACAGAGAAGCCTCCACAGTGGATGTTGTCTCCTATGTAACGGTCAAGTAAGATAGAGGAGACGTAGCAGAACACGCTCACTCTAACGCTCTTCCTCGCTCTCTCACAGCCCTCCCTTTCTCAATCTGTCCCTTGATTACTTTTTAATGATTTCTGCTGCCTGAGACAAATGGCTGTGTTAAATGAGCAGAATTAGACAAGGGAGCTGAGCGCAAGAGCATTTGTTAGAGCAGGAGTAATGGATCGAGCATCCATTGTTTACTCTTCTCCATTCACTGGCTTGGCCTGCTATTGAGCTCCATGTCCTCAAAGTCGAGGCAGCAAGAGTGGAGGCCTTCTATTATGATTCTGACTACACATTATACATTATTCATACATTAACTGCTTGACAATAGCAAATTATTATTATCTCTAAATAATCTCTTTTTAGAAAAAAACTATTTCAAGGATTTTTCATAATTGTTTATATTTGCCCACATTTTTCATAATAAATCTTGTGTATTTGAATGTTTAAACTTGAGTATAAGTTAACTTTTACCTAATATAACATTTTGGATTATTGGATATTGCACCTTTGCCCTATTCTTATTTACTTTGTAAATTCAGTACTTTTGTTTCCTAATAGTTTTTGTTGTTGCAGCAGTCCAGTTTCTCCAAAAGGATTGTTGCGTATGTTCAAAATCAGTCCAGTTTAATTGATCATCTAATTCTAATCATTTTATAATCAAATTTTTACAAATGATCAAATGCGTCATAAAAACTGTAGCACCATATGGGACTCAATTTACGAGTACAGTTTCCATCAGCCACCCACTGAATACCTTGCAGCCACAGTGGTGCTGACCCTATAACCTGACCCTCCTGGAGTAGGCAAGTAAAAAAAAAAAACTATTTCCCTTCAGGTATCACAAATGTAGCATATTATTATCACTGGATTATTATCACCATAGTCACGGTAACAGAAATTGGCAGAGTGGTCATTGCCAATGCTGGTTTGTTTTTTTAAGTGTTATATAGTACCACCAGCCTACACGAAGATGAGGGCAGATGCTGCCAGTGCCTCACTAACAGCTGCCCTCCTGCAGGGTCTATGTATTTCTTCTTTCCCTGGCAGGCTGACAGGGAGTCAGGCATGGACAGTAAAGGGTGCTCCCTTGGCAGAGACAAGGCCTTGGTTAGCACTCCATGGGCATGGGCACTGCTATGGATCATTACTTCCCTCAGTGGAGTGGCTGCTGTTTGTGGGTGTGTGGGGGTGTGTGTGTGTGCACGCACGCATGTGTATGTGCATGCTTGCCTGCTTGTGACAGAATGAGCGAGGGGGAAACAGAAACACAGAAAGGGCTATTAATATTAATGTCATTCTATCACATCAGGGGTCTCTCCATATTTTTTGATGATCAATTACAACCACTACTGCCCCCTACAGTCTTTTTTGTGATTTTGGTAGCTTGCTGCTGGCCTTGAATATGATGTAAGTTTCTAAAAAATCTGTTAAAAAATAACAGAGATCATCCTTACCCTTATATTACACAGATCTGAGATTTGTTAATTTTAGGTATGTTGTTAATATCATACCCTCCTATATATTATATTAACCATTTCTTCTAGTAAACAAGATGTCTACTCTAGAATCGATCATCTGGTTGTCTGTATTTTCTGCCTGGTTCTGGCAGGCTGCACGAAAAAGCAAGTAATAGCCTCTGGTTGTCAGTGCCTTCTACCCCTGCAGTTGTTTGCACCTACCACAGATCATTTCCATTTTATTCATCTTTGACAAAGCTATTAATTTTTCCATTTCACACCTAAACAGTGAAACTCCATGTTAAGTTTACATAGGAAGAATAGTGAGATGAATATTAAGAATCTATGAATGATGAATAGAAATTATGTGTTTAAGATTCCTTCTCTGTGTATCTTTTTGTGGGATTACTCTGCTGCACACACAGTACTGCTTTCGTAGTCAAAGCGAGTTTCAGAGTGAATGCGGCAAGGCTATCACCTGACTAATAGCAAGTTATCACTATTATTGGAGATGTAGGATAGATTGGTAAAGTGCTAGGAGCAGGCAAACGGGAACATACAGAGTTGTAATCTCATTTAACAGCTTTTGAATTGCTCAAAGGTGTGTGTTTTGAAAAGTTTGCTCTCCGTGTGTATGTGTGAGTGTATCTGGGGATATGAAGCTGCTCTGCTGTTCCCGGGCCAGCTATTAGTCACGCAGTAGTGGCTAATCTGTAATGGCTGCTGTCACAGCTCTGCCGTGGCTCCTGGTGATGGGTGCACTGTGACAAATGCACACACACTCACTTTCAGCCTGAGAACACACACAACACAGAAGTTTAAAACATACACAAATATGTGCACGCACTCTGATTCACTTACACACAAAGAATCATCTATTCCACAAATACAGTGTTACAACTTCTGACAAGCACTCCAGCACCACTCATCAGTCCAGCTGTAGGTAAAAGATAGACAAGTGGAGCTATCCTGTTATACTGGCACTACAGCAGACTGGACCAGGCACTTACATAAAATCTAGTCCTCCCTTATTTTTCTGTGTGTCTTGTCTGTTTTTCTCTCTTTAACATTGGAAATTCAGACTTTTTATGCATAAATAAAACCAACCAAACACTCATTGCTCACCTACTGTTTCTCCCTCCAGAGCACAGTGGTAGTGGAGAAGTCCATCCAGGATCTAATGAGCCTAATGCAAGACCTGAGTGCCTACTCGAACCAGTTCCTCGAGATGGTCTGTGACAAGCTCAAAGACTACAAGGAGATCTGCAACACAGCCTACAGGTAAATATGGGGGAGGACAGCTCACCTGCAATAGGAGAATCCTATGAAATTATTATTTTTTCTTTTACTTGAGGATGACAGCCACTGGAATTCATTGTTGTTATGGTTTCAGTGACTTTTTGGCTTTTGACAGATAAACCTAACATAAGGGTAATAGGTCTTGATAACTGCAAAGCTTTTATGGAAGCTTTTCCCTAGCTTTCCTTGGAAACACTGTTAGACACTTGGTTTCCCAACAGCTGAAGTTTTTTTTTTTACCATAGCCAAATAAATAAATAAATGAAAGCATGGGGAAATGTAGGTGTGCATTTTTAAGGGCTCACAGCACTGAATATTTACTATTTACAATATGGAAATAGGTTTGAATTGGTTCTTGGTTTTTACACACACACACACACACAATCAAATACACATTTGTGCTCCCCTGGGACCATGTAACACCTGGCCAGGTAAAGGGGGGGCCCAGAGAATATGGAGGGATAGGAGAGGGAGTGATGACCGGGCCAGGAGACGCAGGAAAGGACTGACAGACTGCTGGGAATCCATCTGGTCTCTGTCACAGGTCAGCCTCAGTCTCACTGGGGCCTCCGAGTGATAAAGACAAGCCCAACAGAGTCTGCCAATGTGTATGTGTGTTTTCGTGTGTGCTGTGTACGTTTGTGTTCCTGTGTGCATTTTCACATGAACAGGTCTCTCTCTCTGTGTGTGTGCGTGCGTGTGTGCGTGCATGTGTGCGTGTAGTGTAGATATGAACCCCTAAAGGGCTTATGTCTCCTGAACAATGTATTATAGTATGATATAAATTGCAGAACCAAGCAGTTTCTCTCCAACCCAGACATATGTTCACAAAGCAAATACATGTTGGCAGTCTGCCCCAATTTCTCTTCACACCTAATCAGAGTTGCTGTAATGCTATTTTATATGCCCGTACAGATGTTTAAGAACCACGTGTTCAACTACCGGACCATTAGTGATACTAGTCTGTCTGTATGGCTATTAGTATTATTCAGGTAATTAACTTTTAGCTACACTTTCTGTGTGGCTACATTTTCAAATGAAATATCTTAAAGACCTTTGGATGGATTGCTATGAAATTTGGTGCAGACGTTCTCGGTCTGTAGAACAGGTTAATCCAATTCACTTTGGCGATTCCCTGACTTTATTTAGCACCACCAGCAGGTCAGAATTAAAAAATGTATATCACCTCAGTTCATTACGCTTTTGGACTAAATAATGAATTCCCTTCAGCCTCGGTTATGTATTAATAGTAAGTGCATGTAGCATTTTAGTAATGCTACAAATATATATGCTATGAAGACATTGTTTCTTTTTATAACTTGTCTACATATTATCATGTGCATCTGTTTGTCCTCAGGGGTATAGTCCAGTGTGAGGAGAAGCTCACCATCAGTGCTTCCTGGTCTAAAGACGAGGACATCAGTCGACTGCTCCAGTCACTCCCTAACTGGGCTAACATGGCCCAACCCAGACAGACCCGACAGAAGAGAGAGGATGAAGAGGATTTTACTCGGTACACATTTGTAGTAGTTTGTATAAATGTACATATGTCCATCAGTGCACGTTCACAATTTTGTCATAAAGAACCTCAAACAAGTAAGGTAACAACTAGACTCACTCGTGCACCCTAACAAGCAGAAGTAGACATACACGGGCACACTTGAGCAATCACGCAAGTACTGCCTCCCTCCCCTCTTTGCTCCTTTATTCGCATATTATTGAACCATCTCTTGTTGACTAAGATGCACCCACAAAATAAGTAATGATTGCTCTTTTAAACACCCTCTATCTGAAGGAAGTGAGGAAACGAGGGATGAACAAAATAGGAGAATATAAGGGCAGCAGATTGAGGCGGGTTGGGAGGGGCGGGGGGGGTCAGTCTTATCGAAAATTGCCTTTGAATGTGCGCACTCTTCAGGGAACACTGGAGCTCATCGGAGCGGAATAGTAAAGTAAATAAATAAATTGGTGATGTGGCCAAAGAAAGTCAATCTGTTGTGTGCGTGCTCTCTCCCTCCCTCCCACTCCCTCCCTCAGACACACATGGAGACACGCACACACTGTAAGAGCTCAGACATAGCAAGAGGGAGACCATAAGGCTGTTTGATTTGAGAGCCGTAGATGTTTTCATCACTATGAAAGGGGGATTAGCTTCTGCACGACTGGCAACCCAGTGCTTTAATAAAGCCTCATTAATAAGCTACACATGCCTATGTGTGAGTGAGAGAATGTGCGTTCGTGTGTCTGGTGTTTTCTTTTACCCATTTGTTGTTCAAAGGATCTTGATCTTGTGAGCATCCTGGTGACTCTGGAGGCCAGTCCACACGCCATGTGTTTGCAGCACTGTGGTGTTGAGATTTAGTTCCCTGTTCTCTCTCCTTCTTTCTCGCCTGTAACCGAAGTCAATTATCCCTCCAAAACCACGAGTGCTTGTAAATATAGCGAAAAAGAGGTTTTGATCTGTTGTCTTTGTTTTTCCAGTCTTTAAATATCTGCCTTCTGTTTGTCTTCCTGTTCTAAATGTTCTCCATCACCTGTTGTTTTTCTCTCCCACCAACTGTTTAGCTACTTGCAACTTCCTCCTTTTAAAGTGACTATAACTACAAAATCCTCTTAACACTGTGTCCAACTTTATTTTGTTCTTATTCTCTTCCCATTTCTGTCTTTGTCTGTTTTTGTGTCTATCTACCGTTCATCCATTTGACTGTGTCTTGTTTCTGTTCACCTAGTTTTGGCATTCCTGCATCACTGTAAAGGTTACAGCTTTAATTCAGTCCCCAACTGTTGTACACATAAGCATGGGACTATAATGAAAAAACTACACGCCCATGCATTTACACATCCGTCCCATTCAGCAATTCCTTATGTTTTTAAGTTTTGAAAATTGGCTTCTATTGTAGCATTTTATGTAAGCCACTCTGCCTCTGCAGACCAGATATTTTGAGTCCAAAGGGCCTTGTAATTTCCTTCAGATAACGTAATACTGTAGACTGATTATAGGGTATTTCACAGTCATTCCTCTTAGTCATCAGACATAAATTTGTCCTATAACCTTTTTGATAGCAGTCATTTTTAATAAAGGATGTCTGCTGGAGTCATGGTCAAATTATATTTTTCTTTGCCAACAATATATTGCGTCTGTCGTTCTAACCACAAACTCTTTCATCCCTCACTTTCCGCATCATTCAGTGCGGCTTTTGCTAAGGAGTCTGAGGTGCTGACTGGAAACCTAGGAGACAAGTTGATCCCCCAGAATGAGATCCTGCGTGACGTCAGTGACCTGAAGGCTCTGGCCAACCTTCACGAGAGCATGGAGTGGCTTGCTGGTCGCCTCAAGACGTTCTTCGCCAACCTGCCTCATGCCTCCAGTAAGTAGAGGAAAAATCATTTAGGGTGTGGAAGTAGTTGACACATCATGACTGAGGACCAGTTTATGGCGGGGTCAAAAGCAGGCCATCATACTGTAGAGAAGGGCACAATCATTATTTAAATAAGAAATAATGGTGCACATTTTCAAACAATCTCTTCTGAGAGGAGCACAAAACGCAAAAAGGGGGTTTAACAAATGAAAAAAGAGACCCTGAGCTCTTTATTTTAATGAAGAACATCACTTCTTCACCTCAACTGCTTCTCTGCTGGTTCTCTTGGTAAAAACAGATATATTTGAGGTCTCATATTTTGCATAATTCAGCTCTCATATCTGTGCATATAGGCAAGAAGCTGTAACATCACTGGATAATAAATACAGAGTGGTCACTGATTGGATGCTAAAAACCCTGTTTCTCCTAACTGTTATTCCGTTGATGAAATCAAATTAAGCTAAACTTGGTTTTATTTTTGACAAAAACATTGACATATGCAGTAGATTTTGCGCCTACGGACCAGTACCAGACATCTGTTGCTGTTTATTCTGCAGACTAAAAAACTGAATATTTTCTTTGACACATGAATTCTGCTTGTTGGGTGGTTGCATCACACCCAAAATTTTATTATCCTTTTCTATCTTTTTCTTTCCTCGGTTTCTTTTTTTTCCCACTTTGGCACAGACAGAGAGGCTTTCATGGCTGCCAAAAATGTTACTATTTGGGAAAATACTGAGGGTGTGTTTGTGTGAAATGTGTGAGTTCATAGTGGACAATATGAGAGTTTAGAGAAGCTTAAATCTTGGAAGCACCTGGGGACAAGCCTCAGTAACAACATACATCCTCTACTGACTGGTATATTATAGTATAGTGCAATATTCATGGATATTTTTCCAGAAGATGTTGCTACAAGTCTCTCAGGCCATTAAGCAGTTATTGATCAGAATACATTTTCAGATTAAGAACATTGTCTGGATGGTTTATGGAGAGTCGCAGTCGGGGGTATATGAAGTTTTCTCATCCTCAGCTGCAGTGCTTTTGTAGCAATACTTCTTACCTGTGCCTCATTAAGTTCTTGTTTGAGTGTATTATCACACACTCATTACCTTCTCCACTGGAGTTGTCAAAGAGCACTTTACACACACACACACACACTCATTATCCTTTGCTCTGCCTCCGCAAGTGCGTGCGCATAAATGCTTACCCTAATCAGAACTCTTAAAAGCATTTCATATATTCCCTGCTCAGTCATCACTTTTGTATCATTAATCACTGATCAAAATGAGGTGTCTGTATTTCCATCCAACACATAGTCTTTAAGTAGGCCTTGTTAATCACTAATAATTACAGTAACGTTTTAATGCTCATTATCACTCTAAGAACATGTTTAATCTCCTATTAAAGATTCTAGCATCTTGTAATATTCTTCTTCAAGTCCCTATCTTTTTATTAAGATCGTATGATAGCAATCAGGGAGTTATTACTCCCATTAAGTGACTCTTACAGTAGGGTCAGGTTTATTTTTGTACTATAACTTGTTTTGTAATTTTACATTCCTTTTTCCATCAAAACTAGAGTGTAAATGTGCAGTATGAAAGGCCCCCCCCCCAGATTCCTGCAGTACAAACAGATGTCAGACTTCATTATTCCAGTCCCATGCAAAAGTCATGTTGTTGTTTATGTCTTTCTAAGAAGCTCATTAAATATTTAACATGTTTAAAAATGTCATCAAGTCGAATATATTACCAATCTTAACAATATGATGCTTGTAAAGATTCTGTTTTTCTTGGAAAAGTACTGCTGTGTTTGTTTCGCAGTCAGACATCTGCATTTACCGTAGATATTTATAATACCTCATTTGTTTTTATTTCCTATTAATAGGATTTATACAACATTGGATTCATTTTCAACATATCACGACTTATTATTATTTGATTATAGAATATATGTAATTGTTTGATCACCTATTTATGCAGCTCTTTCATTCACCTCTGTACTTATTGTGTTACTGTACTCTGGAGAAACGTAGCCGTGTTCACTGCAGTATCTTAGTCCTCTGGCGGAGCTCTGGTAAATTATGCACCTTTCCTAGAGGGATAAAGAGAGGGCTTCAACCCTTATCAGCGATTGTCACCACTCTCTAGTTTCAGACCTCTGATTGCTCATTGAACTTGCACTATTTTGCTGTTCCATATCGCAACTTTTCTTTCCGACATAAAATAATTAAATGAGAAATTTCAGATATTCTTATTTGGGCTTGACTTTGTCACTATCTCTTTTTAAACTTCCCTTCCCTCTCACTCTGACGCTAGCTTTCTTCGTTTATTCATAGATAAGAATTCAATAAAAGTACGGGAAGGGACGTGACATAATTATCATTAATTCTGGCGGGTGGCGCTAATGGAAAGGATAGGGCAGTCACTTATCATGCTGGGACAGCCTCCGTATTGTTCATTATTTAGTGTTTGCTGAGCTGATGACGGACTACGTGTGTGTTGGTATGGGTGTCAGTGTGTATGTGTGTGTGTGTGTGTGTGTGTGTACATAAGCATGCACTGTGTAAGATGGGACAAGGGTACGGCAGGGGAAAAGGACCCCACCTTATCTCATCCTCCACCCACCCCCCGCCTCACGTCTATGCCTCTCCAAATTGGATTTTATATTACAGAAGCAGTCAGGTATGAACAACTCATTTTCTCTCCCTCTTTTTGCTTTTTCTTTCTTTCATTCCTCTTTCTAACTCTCTTGCTTCATTCCTAGTATTTCTTTCTTTCTGCCATGGCTCTGTCTTTCCTTCCTTCTGCCCTTCCTCATCCTGGTACTGTGAACATTGTTCTCGCTTTTCTTTGAGTGCTAAAGGGCTGGTAGATTCTGTCCAGTGGACATTTGGTTTGGTCACCTTCTTGTGTGATTGAATCCTGCTGTATGTATAGTTACATACATTGCTATGCTCTGAAGTATAAAAGATACGCACATTTGAACCCATCAACTTCCTCACAGTGCTAAATCCTAATTAAATTTAGGTGTCTGCGCACATGCAGTTTCGTACGTCTCTGTTTGAGTATCTGTGTGTGTCTGATTATTAAGAATGTCTCAGTGAGCCCGTGTGTGTGTGTGTGTGTATGCAAACAGACCACTGATGGTGATTGGCCGTGAAGGTGGCTGCAGAAAGGGTCTTATCACCCATCTGGTCGCAGCACTGGACTTCCAATCCACTCTTACAATATTTACCCAACAACACACACAGACTTGCACACAGGCGCCTGAGGGGCAATGTCAGCGTGACAGACATTTTTTTTGACTGCTGTGTGTGTCTGTATGAATTTTAAACATTTTTAATAATATTTGCCAGTTAGTCTTGCAGCCTCGTTGGATCTTTGTGGACAGAAGATGGACCTGCAGGAGATCATGAACTGTCTGAAGGGCCGTCTCAACGGACAGTCTTTTCTTTTGCAGACTTTTTCCTGCCTGGTAATTCTTTATCTTGTTGTGTGCAAATGTGTGTTCATGTCAGAGGCCTGACCATCATTAGGTGCTTAGAAACGGGCCTCTAGTCTATGCTGTAGGGTTTCTGGACAATAACTATGTGCTCTCCTCATGGGAATAAGTTCCTTCTCTCTTCAGTGGTTGCTCTGCTGAATATGGCAGGCTTATAGAATATACTTTCTAACCTTGACTGTGGTGAGTGTAGGTCTTTTCCCTTAAGCAATGATTTTTTTACTTGACTCCATTTAACAAGGCAAGTTGACTAAGAACACATTCTTATTCATTGCACAGGCCTGGGGGACTAGTTGCAGTGGGAGATGATGGTGTTGTTTTTTCAGTAGTTGAAATATTGTATTTTGTTTCATCCATGTGGGTTTTACTTACTACTACAAAAATGTCTAGCATGTTTTCATCGTCTCTCATTGTAAGATACCATTTAACAATCTGCGGTCTTCAGATATCTAAATCTTTCAATCTTATTCTCAATTCTAATCTTCTCTCTTCCCCACTCGCTTTCTCTCTTTCTCTCTGGACAGAAGTTCAGATCCCCGTGTGCAGATGTTCATCCTCTACCAGAGGCAGCAAAATAATTAATAACTCCTCTCGTTTCTTACTCAGTCAGTCACTTATGAATCATTCATCACTCCACCCCTGCAGGATACTGTCCTTTGCTTATCTTTCTCCATTTTCTCTTCATTCCTCTTTTCTGTTGAGGGGTAGGGCATGTTGTACTTCTCAAACAAAACAGATCATGATTTGTATCAAATATTTAGCGTCTGCATTTGTCAATGCCACAGAAAATGTCAAGTCATATTGTTGTCTTGTGCCTTCATGTATTGTTTATTCCCTCAATGGCACACAGGTCAAGAGTGTGATTGAGTTTGTGTTAATATGAACTTTCGGTGTATGTGTGCATCTGCATTGCTGTATGTGTGTGAGAATGTGAATTCCATCACTGATCTTCTCCCTTAATGTCTGCCACCCTCATCTTCTGCAGATGGCATGCAACAGACGTTTCTCTTAGATGGGAATCGAAAATAATTGGATAAGCGCAGCGCACACACGCAAACACACACATAGATGCATGCCTACACATGAGTGCATAAATAGATACACGACAAGCACATACATATCCTCACATTTAATCAGCATAAAGAGAAAAAAAGAGACCAAGAAAGTTGTCAGTCAGGACCAATGAGTCGTCTCCTTTCGCCCGTCTGTCCCTGACGCTAATGGTGCCCCCCATGCTGTGACGCCTCCCTCGCATCATCAAAGCAGCGCAGGCTGGGGGGCGGCAGGAGTCTGTGTGTGTCTGTGTTTCTGTGGGTGTCAGTGCGCGTGTGTTTTTGGGCATGTGTGTGTTTCACGGACACCCCCTGGAGAGACCTCCAGCAGTGTGTGCCACAGCGAGCCCTTTTTTTTTCCTTTCTGCTGCCAAAATGAGTGAGTGTAATGCACATGAGAGGAAGCAGAAGCCTTCGAGTCACTTTCTCACACACACACGCCTATCTGCGCGTACACAAATACTTGGAGGGAAAACACTCCCACAGGCAGAGCAAGTGAAATGCTCTCACTTTTTTCACACACATAACACAACCACAAGCTAAGAAAAGGAAAGAGACACACTGAGAGCAAAATGGTCTATATCAGACAAATATACATGTACCTTTTGTCAGGTGTTTTAAGTAAGACTTTATGGAAGCACAAGGTGACAGTTTTATATCTTTATAAACTGTCGGCGCACTGCTAGCTGCACCTAACACTTGTCGATGTTGTTACCATTCCTATGCGGCCAATAAACATCAGTAGTGTCATATATAGGTTATTTAGATAAGGTTACTTAGCTGTATAGGTAATATTCTTGTAATTGTGGCTTTTTAGTTTGAGTGGCTGTATTGTGTTTCAGTGCTGCATTCCGTATTTGTTAATAATCTGATAAGATGACCAGGGAGAATAAACAACATCTGCTAAATACAATCAAATGAAGTCAATTAATGTCATTATGCTCCACTCCCTTGAGAAATCATTGTGGATTTTTTCTGTTAAGACCAATCTTGTTTGTTGTTCCTGTGGCTCATTTAGCTGGATTAATGCTGATATTGCCAACTTAAAGATCTAATCATTGGTACTCTTGTTTTCTGCTGGTGTAGGAGGCAGTCACTAGTGTGGACATAGGAATTCTATACTGTAATGACTGTTGATTGACATTTTCTTAAAAAATAATGTTGAAAATGTTGAAAAAAAACTTTCAACTCATAGTGCAATGTCAGACTGCTCTGTTAAATTAAGCCAGTCTTTACTTTTATACTTGTTTTATGTGAAAGAAATTACATTAACAAAATACAAAGACTGATTATAAGCCTAAAATGTCAGCCGCACTACCTCCTAATCATCTCAGAACTCATGCTGGTGGTTCCAGTGGTAACAATGAAACTGATTAAAAGGAGGATAGGAAGCCTCATAATTGGTGGTTTACTTTGTAGGCACACCTTGATGCTTTGATTCTATTTTTTTTTCTTTCTATTGACAATTGTCACAAAAATCTGTGCTTTCCTGACCACAGAAGTCAACAGTTTCCTTCTCAATTGCACATTTTATTTCTATAACATTTATCTGAAGTGTAATTGTTTATTTGTTAGTTTTAAGCCAGAGTCAAAGTCTTTCCATTACAGGACTGTCTGACGACTGAAGCACTCTGTTACAGTATAAACTGCCTGTAACTGCTGCAAATGACTCTGCACTGCAGTGTCCTCCCACACATTTTCAAGAGGTTTACTAAAGAAGACAGTTAATTAGCAAGTAATCTCATTTATTCATTTAGCGCCTTCACATACACAGCCCCACGCGTCACATGCAAACTTTTAATAAAAAATACTATCTCCCCCCCCCAGATGTGTTTGCGTTGTTGATTGGATGGTCATGGCACGTACCTCACTGCTGTTTGCCTAGGCCAATGGTCCCTCGTCTTATCAGGGGTTAATTTAAAGTAACTGTAACAGTAGGCACAGAAGCATATATTCACCAGCAGATACAAAATAGTCAAACATTAGCACAAAGAAGCACTCCCATGTAAAGAGCAGCAAGAATTATTCTGAGTGTTATTGATCTTCAACAGTAGTAGAGATAGTGCGTCAGAATAGGTTTCAAACTGAAATTGGCCTTATTAATGTGAGAGAACAAAACATTAATAACATAAATATTCCCTTTTGAAATAATATCTACATCCAAAAAAAGATACATTTGTTTCAGTTGTACTTTTAGCTCATTGTATTAATGAAGCTCATGATGTCACACATGCTTGTAAAATCAACAGATATCCAACACCTAAATCTCTCGATATACATTAAAAAAACTTGTAAAACATTTCTGTGGAAACTTTACCACGACTGTTCAAGGAAAATTTATATCTGCTCTTTTAGATCATCCTTCTATACATATATCTATATATATCAATTATTTTAGTGTTGTTTTTCTATATTCTAAAGAGGTTATTTTTCCCATTTATGGGGCTCCAGATGTACTGTTCAGCAGACTTTTGGGTTTTAGCTACACTTCAAAGTAAGAATGAACAGAAAGACGTAAGAAATAATGAATGCAAAAATATCTGTGTGTTCAGATTAGGGCTAATGTATGTGTGTGTTAGGGTTAGGGTTATGCGAATGGATCCATGTACCAATAATGAAACAAACAATTTATGAGTAAGATACCTATATCCCACTTCCTGTCTGTTTTGAGGAATATCAGTCAAAAGTATTAGTCATAGAGAGGAAAGACAAATGAACAGGTCATTTCAGCCTTTTTTCATACTTGCTGCCACTCTGTCCTTAGCTGTGTGTGTGTGTGTGTGCGCGCATTTATACCTGCGTGCATGCGTGTGTGACCTTCGGAAGGGCAGGAAGAGTAACTGGGGAGCTGGCTCTGACTGCGGCACATCGATCGTGGACCCCTGCATTCTCCTGTTCTCCTGCTCAACAGTCACTCTTCGCACACACACACACACACACACACACACACACATATACACACACACAAACACTCGCCTCATTGACCAAATAGACTTACATATGAGTGACGGGGCCAATTTCTCTCCCTTTCCTCCCCTTGCTAATTTATGGCCATTGATCTACACCGGGCTGAATTTATATACACTCATCATGCTCTCGTGCTCTCTGGCTCTCTCTCTCTCTTTCTCTCTCTCTCTCTTCTCACACACATACGCACAGGTCCTTTGTGTGGTTTACAATGCAGTGCACTGACACATGCTCCTGCCGTCTCAGCAAAAGTGGCGAGAAGAAAGTACAAGAACATGCTGAAGGACTCAGGAAGTGTGTGACGTTGGAACTAATGGTTTTCTTTTGTGTGTACTGTATAAGCTGGTGTCATTTCCTGTACCTGATTATGTCAACATTAAATGACACACATGCTTGTTATCTTGTAGGACAGTGCAGTGTGTGTGGGCACAGATAGGTCACAGTAATAATGAGTGTATAACACATTTGTCAGGGTCAGTGGACAGGGTCAACTGTAGAGCACGACCTCTGGTGCTGGTAGGGTTGTAATAGTTGGCTCAAGCATTTTTCAGCATTTATCATCCAGACATTGAAACTTCATCATAGTTCCCCTAGTTAAAGGAGGACCCTTCTACTCATTACTACTGCTCCTGTTTGGTACAATTGTGTTTGTAAATGGTGTGTCTTCCTGTCTCTTCTGTCCCTCCAGGTGCATCCCCATGCTCAGTAGACAGCCAGGTGGTTGGTGAGAGCGAACGGACCAGGGAGCAGATTCTACAGACCCTAAGTGACCTGTCCCGGGGCTTCCAGGACATTGCCGACCGCTGTCTCCTGGTATTGCACCTGGAGGTCAGGTATGACAAAGAGAGAAACTCACCCAAACTTTACTTATATTGCAGAAATGAAAACACACACAGGGGGGCTACATGGTATTAGTACATTTATCTTATCATGTTACCAGGTGACAGATGGCCTCAGAATCTTTGGCAGAACCATTTTAAATCCTCCAAAGTCAATGTCAAGACTATAAATGATAAGTAACCTTTATTTGTTAAAACACTGACAATTTGACATCTTTAAGTGTTTTTTTATTGCTGTGCTAATTATGCTGTCAATATGAAATAAATGTAATACATTTCTCTTATTTAATTGAATGCTTGAAAGTCGAGGCATTAAACTGCACACACAGTCCTAACAGCATTATACTCTAAACATAGTGCTCAAAGTAGGTTGGGTTGAATTGACCTATATGTTGCCTGGTTCATATATTGATGCAATGCTGATTATTTCAAGGTGATGAATTGTTTCCCTTAAGGTAAACAATTTTTTAAAATAAATAAGTGTTGGAAGATTATATACACTACGAGTCAAAAGTTTGGACACACTTTTAATTGTTTTTCTTT